GCAAGTTTAAGGAATAGAAAGGGTGAAAACAACTTTTCCCTGATACTCACATTTCTGACGGTTAAATAAATTTTACAAACCTAACTCAGTTGCCTTTGTTAAGGTGATACACATCTTCAGTAAAGAGAATAGAGATCTTTCTTGAACTTGTTTTTAAACCATAATACCTGCAATTCCCTATATACTTACACAAGCTATATATATACTGATACCAGTCATTACAAGCAACTCCGCAAAAATTTCACATTACATTACTAAAGATGTAACCATTAAGTTACTATTTGTAAAGGACCACCATTTCTGTAGTTTAAAAGTAGTACGCTAAGAGATGCCTTATTCTCTTGTTCAGCCTACTGGAAGATACTTCCAAATCTACAACTACTTGGCTTTGCTTAGAAGGTCTAAGTAAAATTATCAGATATGTGGAAAACAACTATGAAACTCATCCACCTATGGACTGTAGTAAAATTACTGAAAAACAAGTAGTTTTCAGTCTTTATGTCTATTTAAATAAAGCTATCTGCAGGAGCTGAAAGCAGGTACTTCTAATAACCAGAAGGATGAAATATTAAGAACAGGAATAAAAACCCCCTTCCCATCCTTCCCCTCACAAACACCAGAAGGCTGTTTCTGTATATAAAATACAATACAGTCACAGCAACCTAAAGACTATGGAGAGAGGAAAATGAGAAGCTTACTCTTCAGTCCCTAGAGCTGACAAGTAAAGCATAATAATCTTGAAAAATTAAGAAATACAGAGCCTTTTAGAAGAATCTGGACAACACAGCGCACAAAAATCCTACGCTCCTTCTGAAAGCTGAGCAGGGCACAGAGGCTTGGCTTTTCACTCAATTCTGCATGCTAACTTTGGTGGTGGGACTTCCCCCCACCCCAAATCTGTTCCTGCTAGATACCTACTGGCTGAAATGCCTCCATCTGGCAATTCTTTCTGAGTCTTTCAACAAAGAGTTAACAGACACAAGCATCCAGTTACTCTAGAAAGCTCCATGCGCTGCACAAAATGAAAAGCTGATATTTTAAAAGAGCAATGATCATGAGAAACAACAAAAAAAAGATTATTCCAGAATAGACTTAATACAGGCAAGCTCAAAGAAACCAGACAGGTCAAGAGAGTGTTGGAATTTATGTTAGTATACCAGTAACAAGATGTGCAAATCGCATAATTGCTTTGTCTTGTTACTTACTTACACCATCATAAGTAGAAATTTTCCTTAGGATACTCCTGGACAAAAATAATGCAGGAATATGAAAATTTTGTAAACAAGGCACACTGTCCAGTATAACTATTCTCTGCTTTTTATGAAGGACCCAGAAGACTGGGTCAATCAGACTTCAAATACGGTTTTTTAATAACATCAAGTACATCAGATAATCACATCTTACAGAATTACTCTGTTGCACAGTTTAGACTGAGACTGAATGTAGTGACAGAGGACACGACACTAGTACATAAAGCATTAAACAGACAGTATAAAATTTAACCTGTGATTGACATTGTGTCAGATACCACAAAAACATCCTCCTAAATAAAAATGCATATCTTCCCCTTCTCTTTAAGAAAAACAAGTATGATGTAGAAATAACTGTATAATTTCTCCAAGTTATTAGAAGAGTAAGACCTTTTTGGCAAGAAAAGTTATTTGATTTCTGTAGTAAGACAAGCAGATTAAACTGAGCAATTTATGCATTTATGCTTAAAACTTAATTATTATTATTATTTAAAGTAGAATCATAATGACTGAATATTTATTAAACTAATTGCTGCAGTATGCAAGTTGACATTATACTTGAAGTTTTTCTTCTATCAATTTATTTTCCTATTTAACAGAGTAGTGTCTCTTGAAAAATACATTGCCTTACTAGGCAATTGACTGGCTGGAGGGCTAGGAGACTGACTTACCCTGGGAGAAAATTTAAAAAAGAACAACCATTGAAGAAAAATGAATGAAAAAAAAACTTTTTCTGCCCCAACAGTAGCCTCTCACCTTTCATTGCTACAGGTCCACTTATTACATATTTGCTGTATTTCCTATCATTTTCCATAAAATTTTAAGCTAATATGCTCTCATATACTACTGTATCACAGACTCAAGTGAAGGATAACAATTTACATAACATTCCCTGTTGCTAAAGTAATTGAACTCACCAAGTACCAATCATAATTTGGATAAACACTGCCAAAATTTTAAAGAACGGATTTTTCATTTCATAAGCAGAAGTCAAATGAGTTGTGATCGCCACCACTCTAGTACTATGAACTAGCAATTTCCACATGTAAGAGATTATGTGCTTGATTATTCTGAAGCTGCTATGATGTTGCTAACAGGGAGAAAGAGGAAAAAACACATTCACCTTAGCACTGAACTTCAAATTGTCTATTAAACTGACCTATGCCTCCACTGACTTTTGCAACAATTCTTGTACTTGACAATAAAACCTCAAAGCATCAACTGGCACAAAAAGAAAAGGGAGTGGCTTGTCTACTGACAAATACAGGCCAATGTCATGCCTTCAATGCCCCCATCACCACACTCCCTATCATCCTGCAGATCAAGTTCAGATCCCAGTCATGGTCTGAGCCTCCTCTAAGAGGCTGCAAGAATATCCACAACAAAACCTTCTGTCAACAAACACTAAAGGATCACAGTAGAATTAGTTCATCTTCACTGCATGACTTTCTGGACGATTACTTTTCCACTTGCTTCCAAGCAATCACAAGCCCATCTTCATCACAAAATCCAGGTCTAGTATTTTGAACATAATTTGGACTTAATTGGACATAATAGCTTTGGAATAATAATTATTATTAGAAGGAAAATCACCAATATCCAACTAACCAATAGTTATATTCATCTACCTATTCCCACTCTTGCAGAGAAGAAAAAATCAGTTTTGTATACAGATCCTGTGCAGGAGTTTATGTAGCTCTGGCACCATGAAGGTGGAGTGGGTTCACTGATAGATTTGTTACTAGGACACTTGCATCACTAAATCCTCACACTGGACCTCTTTTCTACAGTAATCCCACTCTACAGTCTCTCAACCAGTTCCAAAGGCCGGATCCTATCACCTGACTGACGTCATCCATTCCCCACTTGTTTAAAATTTAAACATGTTCATGCTGTGACCCATACTGCACCTCACAGTCAACACTCACAACACAATTTCATTCTTTCATTCTCACCTCCCCCTTAAAGCTCTCTGTTGTCACGATGCTTGGATAAACTGCCAACAGTTGGGGTATTGCTGTGTGGTGGCCAGAATCCATCAGGCTGACCAAGAGTGCTTCATTCTTTTCCTTCACTCACCATCTGTCTGCATCCATCTCCCATTATCTTACGCTGTCCTTACGGACTGTATGCTGTCTGGGGCAATAACCATCTTTTATCATTCTCTGTTTGTACAAAATGGCACAGAGTCCTCCTCCATAGTTTTTATTAAAACAATAAAAGTGGAGGTGTTCAATACAGATTTTATAAACTTGGGTTTATACAAAGAACACAAAAAAAGGTCAGAGAAACAACAAAAAAAACCAAACTACATCCACTTCTTCCTATCCAGTTCTGCCTTCCAAGACTCTTCTCCCCTATTCCAGAAAAATCAGTTTCCAAAAAAGCATAAATTTAAACACATGTATGTCAGGTTATGACCATAAGAAAATATTTCAATATATTTCTCCTAAAGAACATAAGTCACACTAATTCAACATAAGAAAAGTTATTACATAATAAAATACACCTATATAATTTCACTGTAATTGATGTGTTTTGTAAATGACCCAAAATATGCAAAGTCTTCTTTCTAAAGGACAGCTGGTGATTCTACAATTCAAAAGAAACAGTCAGAGCGTTTTTGCAGGGACATTTTAAGTATTCTCTGTCACCGGTTAAATATTCTCTCCCATTTTCACTGACAAAATAATCTCACCACAGATCTCATCTCTAGGTGCCCTCTGGAAACACACAAGCACTCTCCACTTAGGGGACTGAAAGCAAAAATAAAACTGGGATCCTTTGTACTTCTCTCAGCATTGACACCACAAACCCGCGTCCCCCCTCCCTTCTTTCCTACACACTCAGACCCTTCTTAGGGGGTCTTTTGTTTGTTTGTTTTGGGAGAAACTCTTTCATTTGGCCCTACAATCACTATCAAAGTAAACTGACAATATTTTGCTTCTCTTCCTAGTAAAAAGAGAAAGAAAGGAAAAATCCAAAGTCCTAACACCAGCCTGGCTTCAGAGTGCTCACCGCAAAAATCACCTGCTGCGGTAGCAACTTGCGTTTGATCTCCTTCTCCCTAATTCTGTATCACCCCTACTACACCACGCTTTCATCCTGCGCCTACCACTTGGTAGCTGCCCTTCCTATCGAATACCGCAGCCCTGCTTGGGAAGGGAACTATAAACCGACAGGCATATCCCAATTAAAACATATGTCATTGTGCTCTAAATTAACAAGCAGAAGTACTACATGTACAGGAGTCGCGTATCTCCTCGGTTTATCACACCATCTCAGCGCTGTCAGCAAAGGAGAGTGGAAGGTGGGAAGGGAACGAAAAGGAGCGACAGAGACGCAATCCGAAATAAATATGCAACACGCTCACAAAGTGGAAGGAATTTAATTTAGAAATCAAGTACATATTTAAACGCCTCGTCACGCCGGGGTCGTTCATCTCCCCAGGCTGCAGCAGCCGGTGCCACCCGCCTGTCACCCTCCCACCGCCAAGGGGACGGGGGTGGCACGACCCCGCGCCCCCCCCCCCCCCGGCGCGCCGAGCCCGACCGCCGACCCCGGGACCGGGCAGCGGAGGCAGCCCCACAGCAAACGGCGGGGGAGGACACGACCCTGCGCAGTCGGGGCCGGCCC